TAATTTATAATAACTATGAGTACATACAAATAATAATACAACCATGAACACCTTTAAAAATAATAATTTAAATGATTTTTTATTCACAGATTGATTTTTGGAGCCAACAATTAAAATTCCAGTTATAAAAAAAAAAAACAATTTTTGAACTCAATAAACGATTGTTGTATAACAATTTAAAATGGAAAATATTCCTGCGTTTTTGTGGATAACGGATCTCTTCACTGGTTGGTCCATAATTCTAATTCTAAAAGCATTAATATCCGCTGGAATATTTATTTCATATTTGTAATCTGATTGAAGTGTATTTTGTTCCAAAATCCTTTTAATTTTGTTTCCTTAACTTTCATACAATCACATTTGTTCTAAGACGGGAAGACTACTATTTCGGATCTTGACACGGATCGCCATTAGGGATATTCTCCTCAAATCCTAATTATAATTTTTTTCATAGAGCTAGAATTAAATCTCTGATCCTTTAGACCATATTTTCCAATTAGCTCTAACCATTTTATGTAAAAAATTACCATAATTCATTTGCAGTTTATTTACGAAAAACCCCTTTCACTTTTGCTTAACTTTCATACAATTGCATTTGTTCCAAGACTTTATCGTATACATATTTCTTGGCTTCGGTGCCCCAAATAAAGTCTAAGTGGGCCCATTTAGGGAATGGCACCAAATAATCCAATTTCATATTTGGCAATTTATCGCGTAGCTTTTGGACATCCTTCACATCGCACATCCAGTCGTTAGAACCATAATACAACATTACCGGAGCTTTGGCATTCGATAATTTATAATCGGGTGGATAGAGAGCACCATTATACTCCCAAGGATTTCGTATAATGCTATAGTCAAATTTACGGAATTTCTTAGAGTTGTGTAATTGACAGAAATGTAAATTCTGATTGACCGAAGCACCAGCTGGAGAGGTGGCCTTGATGTGTGGCAGAAGTTCCTATAAAATATGACATAATATTGGTTATTGATTTCTGAATAAAAAATAAAATACTTACATAATCCAACTGTTCGGAATCATAGCCACCAATTAGGAATATTTCATTGGCACACATTTCAGCATATGGCGAAGTGGCCTGACACATTTCAATTCCCAAATCCTGTTTGAATTTATTGCTAGGCATAAATTCCATGGAACCTACAACCTCAACCATGGCATTTGGTTGACCCAAAATGGGAGCAAATGCCCTGGTCAGTGGACTTTTCATGTTGCCCATATAGGCGGCGGGACCCAGTAGATGAGCCGATTTAATTTTATCATTATATTTTGGTTTTTCGGACATCATAACTAAATACACTGTTGTACCTTGAGAATGACCCACATATTATAACTTTTGCTGCCCTGTATTTCTCAAAATGTAATCGATCATGTTGGGTACATCGTAGAGACCAATTTCATGCCAACTAAAATTCCAAAAGATTTGCCAATAAGTGGGCCAAGTCTTGTGTTTCTTCGAATAGGTGTTGCCACGGGCATTACCCATCCATACATCATAACCAGCATCAGAGAGAATATATCCCAAAGCTTTGCCGGGGCCCATCAAAATCCAATCGACAGAGGAACTCAACATGCCGTGCATTAGAAAGACTACTGGTTTTTGGACTGCAGCATTGTTCAATTTGGGTGAAAAGGGTATACGATGTACGGTCAAAATGTAGCCATCATCTGTGGTCACCTGGTGGGTCTCCACTGGATAGCCATCGTCGATAATGCGTTCAGCCTACGAAGTTATAAAATGAACATTGAAATTATTAGCTTCCATTGGGAATATACAAACTTACACAATCCGAAATTGGTCTTTTACCGGCCTCTACATTTGAGGCACATAATGCCAAAAATAGTATACCACCTGTTATTAATGCTATTCTCATGTCTTCAACACTTCAACTGAAGTCTAAATTTGTCATGGTTATGTCTTTTATTGGTCTAGTCCATTTTTGGGGGTTTTAATTTTCAATGGGCAAATATATCTGCATTTTGATTAGTACTTCGATATGAATAAGTGTTTTATATTTTTTGGGCACACGCTTAGGTTGTATTTTATTACCCCCTCCTGAGATTCGTTAAAAACCATAAAACTTTCAATGGGGGTCCGCTATTTATGACCAACTTATTGAATAGATAAGGAAGTTTCTTTATTTATATTTCTATTATTGGTTTGCAGGTAATTTTTTATTTGATAGAGTTTTTGATAAAAAGGAACGACGCACAAGTTTTGCAATTTTTCCTGTAAAGACCTAGGAAAATGCTATTTAAAAATCCACACTTTTTGTAAAAATATACTTAATTAATTTTCAGTCATAACAAAATTAAAATTCAGTCATAACAAATAATCAATTTTTGAACTCAATAAACAATTGCCGTACAACAATTTCAACGCGAAAATACAATAAGGTATACCATCATCATCATTCATATTGGGTGTTTTCGCACATCCTTCACATCGCACATCCAATTATTAGCAAAATAACACAGCTGTGCTAGTCCTTTGAAAAATATTCTTTAAAAAATCCACGCATATAGCTGTGCTAGTCCTTGGAAAAATATTCTTTAAAAAATCCACGCCTATAGCTGTGCTAGTCCTTGGAAAAATATTCTTTAAAAAATCCACGCCTATAGCTGTGCTAGTCCTTGGAAAAATATTCTTTAAAAAATCCACGCCTATAGCTGTGCTAGTCCTTGGAAAAATATTCTTTAAAAAATCCACGCCTATAGCTGTGCTAGTCCTTGGAAAAATATTCTTTAAAAAATCCACGCCTATAGCTGTGCTAGTCCTTGGAAAAATATTCTTTAAAAAATCCACGCCTATAGCTGTGCTAGTCCTTGGAAAAATATTCTTTAAAAAATCCACGCCTATAGCTGTGCTAGTCCTTGGAAAAATATTCTTTAAAAAATCCACGCCTATAGCTGTGCTAGTCCTTGGAAAAAAATTTTTCTTTAAAAAATCCACGCCTATAGCTGTGCTAGTCCTTGGAAAAATATTCTTTAAAAAATCCACGCCTATAGCTGTGCTAGTCCTTGGAAAAATATTCTTTAAAAAATCCACGCCTATAGCTGTGCTAGTCCTTGGAAAAATATTCTTTAAAAAATCCACGCCTATAGCTGTGCTAGTCCTTGGAAAAATATTCTTTAAAAAATCCACGCCTATAGCTGTGCTAGTCCTTGGAAAAATATTCTTTAAAAAATCCACGCCTATAGCTGTGCTAGTCCTTGGAAAAATATTCTTTAAAAAATCCACGCCTATAGCTGTGCTAGTCCTTGGAAAAATATTCTTTAAAAAATCCACGCCTATAGCTGTGCTAGTCCTTGGAAAAATATTCTTTAAAAAATCCACGCCTATAGCTGTGCTAGTCCTTGGAAAAATATTCTTTAAAAAATCCACGCCTATAGCTGTGCTAGTCCTTGGAAAAATATTCTTTAAAAAATCCACGCCTATAGCTGTGCTAGTCCTTGGAAAAATATTCTTTAAAAAATCCACGCCTATAGCTGTGCTAGTCCTTGGAAAAATATTCTTTAAAAAATCCACGCCTATAGCTGTGCTAGTCCTTGGAAAAATATTCTTTAAAAAATCCACGCCTATAGCTGTGCTAGTCCTTGGAAAAATATTCTTTAAAAAATCCACGCCTATAGCTGTGCTAGTCCTTGGAAAAATATTCTTTAAAAAATCCACGCCTATAGCTGTGCTAGTCCTTGGAAAAATATTCTTTAAAAAATCCACGCCTATAGCTGTGCTAGTCCTTGGAAAAATATTCTTTAAAAAATCCACGCCTATAGCTGTGCTAGTCCTTGGAAAAATATTCTTTAAAAAATCCACGCCTATAGCTGTGCTAGTCCTTGGAAAAATATTCTTTAAAAAATCCACGCCTATAGCTGTGCTAGTCCTTGGAAAAATATTCTTTAAAAAATCCACGCCTATAGCTGTGCTAGTCCTTGGAAAAATATTCTTTAAAAAATCCACGCCTATAGCTGTGCTAGTCCTTGGAAAAATATTCTTTAAAAAATCCACGCCTATAGCTGTGCTAGTCCTTGGAAAAATATTCTTTAAAAAATCCACGCCTATAGCTGTGCTAGTCCTTGGAAAAATATTCTTTAAAAAATCCACGCCTATAGCTGTGCTAGTCCTTGGAAAAATATTCTTTAAAAAATCCACGCCTATAGCTGTGCTAGTCCTTGGAAAAATATTCTTTAAAAAATCCACGCCTATAGCTGTGCTAGTCCTTGGAAAAATATTCTTTAAAAAATCCACGCCTATAGCTGTGCTAGTCCTTGGAAAAATATTCTTTAAAAAATCCACGCCTATAGCTGTGCTAGTCCTTGGAAAAATATTCTTTAAAAAATCCACGCCTATAGCTGTGCTAGTCCTTGGAAAAATATTCTTTAAAAAATCCACGCCTATAGCTGTGCTAGTCCTTGGAAAAATATTCTTTAAAAAATCCACGCCTATAGCTGTGCTAGTCCTTGGAAAAATATTCTTTAAAAAATCCACGCCTATAGCTGTGCTAGTCCTTGAAAAATTTTCTTTAAAAAATCCACGCCTATAGCTGTGCTAGTCCTTGGAAAAATATTCTTTAAAAAATCCACGCCTATAGCTGTGCTAGTCCTTGGAAAAATATTCTTTAAAAAATCCACGCCTATAGCTGTGCTAGTCCTTAGAAAAATCTTCTTTAAAAAATTCACGCCTATAGCTGTGCTAGTCCTTGGAAAAATTTTCTTTAAAAAATCCACGCCTATAGCTGTGCTAGTCCTTGGAAAAATCTTCTTTAAAAAATCCACGCCTATAGCTGTGCTAATCCTTGGAAAAATCTTCTTCAAAAAATCCACGCCTATAGCTGTGCTAGTCCTTGGAAAAATATTCTCTAAAAAATCCATGCCTATAGCTGTGGATGTTCTTGGAAAAATTACCTTTAAACGTTTAAATAATTTATTAATAATATTCATAATATTTTTGTGATAAGTTGAGTATTTTATTATTCGTAGCTTGTCGAAATTTACATCTCATACAATTTCATTTGTTCCAAGACCTTGTCGTAGACATATTTCTTAGCTTCAATACCCCAAATAAAGTCCAAGTGGGCCCATTTCGGGAAGGGTACCAAATAATCCAATTTCATATTCGGCAATTCATTGCGTAATTTAAGGACATCGCTGACATCACACATCCAATCGTTTGCACCATAATACAGCATTACGGGAGCTTTGACATTTGATAGCTTATAATCGGGTGGCAATAGGGCACCATTATATTCCAGAGGATTGCGTACAACGCTATAGTCAAATTTGCGGAATTTCTTAGAGTTGTGCAGTTGGCAAAAGTGGATATTTTGATTGACCGAAGCTCCAGCAGGAGAGGTGGCCTTGATGTGGGGCAAAAGTTCCTATAAACAAGATTGATATATTCCTTGTTATTGCTTTCTAAGTGATATTCCACTTTATACTTACATAATCCAATTGTTCGGAATCATAGCCACCAATTAGGAATATTTCATTGGCACACATTTCAGCATATGGCGAAGTGGCCTGACACATTTCAATTCCCAAATCCTGTTTGAATTTATTGCTAGGCATAAATTCCATGGAACCTACAACCTCAACCATGGCATTTGGTTGACCCAAAATGGGAGCAAATGCTCTAGTCAAGGGGCTCTTCATGTTGCCCATATAGGCAGCCGGACCCAATAGATGAGCCGATTTAATTTTATTATTATAGGCTGGTTTTTCGGACATCATAACAAAGAACACGGTTGTACCTTGAGAATGACCCACATATTGTAACTGTTGCTGTCCTGTATTCCTCAGAATATAATCAATCATATTGGGTACATCATAGAGACCAATTTCATGCCAACTAAAATTCCAAAAGATTTGCCAATAGATGGGCCAAGTCTTGTGCTTCTTCGAATATGTGTTGCCACGGGCATTACCCATCCAGACATCATAGCCTGCATCGGAGAGTATGTATGCTAAAGCCTTGCCGGGGCCCATCAATACCCAATCGACGGAGGAGCTTAACATGCCATGCATTAAAAAGACTACCGGTTTCTTGACTCCAGCATTGTTCAATTTCGATGAAAAGGGTATACGATGGACGGTCAAAATATAACCATCATCTGTGGTCACCTGATGGGTCTCCACGGGATAGCCATCGTCGAGAATTCGTTCAGCCTAAGAAAACAATTTTTTGCTCTTTATAAATTCAGGAGAAATTTTTTTTTCAAATTTCTACTCACACAATCCGAAATTGGCCTGCTACCGGCATTTACGTTGCCGATAAAGATCGACAAAAGCAATACCGCCACTGCGGGAATAATCAATGGTCTTCTCATGTCTTTGTTTTCAAATAAATTCTACAGTTGCAGGCAAACTCCTTTTATATGTTGCTTCACCATTTTAATATTTCAATGCGGTAGCAGTAAGATAACCGAATTTTTTATTGCGATTAGAAATCTTTATCAGGTTGTTGTGCCCCCCACTGAAGGGGGTGTTTTATGGCCCTTCGAAAAAGATTGCAAATTGGCTGCCGTTAGTTTTACGACGTTGCGAATAGTGGATATGTTTGATAAGACGACTGAGATTTTGATAATGTTTAGGAGGTTTGAACCTACGTAACTATTGCCATAAATACTATGTTGAAGACATTCGTGGTTCAGATAAAAATGTGGACCTTGATCTACCATTTTTATATTTTGTAGAATTTTCTCTGAATTGATTTTCAAACGTATATTTAGTCGATATCGATGAAATGTATTTCAAATGTACGTTTCCGTTATGTAGAGCTTTTTGTGACACAATAAAAGCTTTTATCTGACAATTGCCAATGTTGAAAATGAGGCAAATGGTTTGTGCTTGCACTAGGCATTACTTCTATAGTCCCATTTCAATTTGTGTCACAAATTGGACTAGGAGACCAAAAAGTGTGGATTAATACAAAATATTTTGCCAAGGGCTAATAAAGCCATATGCATGAATTTTTAAAAATTGTATTGAAGGACTAGCCATTTCATAAGCGTGTATTTTTAAAGAATAACATTCCAAAGACGTGGATTTTTCAATATTTTTTTATTCTTTACACAATAGTTTTTTTCAAGGACAGTCAGACCTTAAACCTTGAATCTTTTAAAGCAATTTTTTTCAAGAACTTTCCCCATAAGCATATATCAAGAAGTACCCATTCAAAAACGTGGGTTTTTAAAGAATATTTTTCAAAAGACTAACACCCCTATAAGCGTGGACTTTTTAATGAATAATTTTCAAAGGACTAACACCTCTATAAGCGTGGTTTTTTTAAAGAATGTTTTTCAAAGGACTAATACCCCCATAAGAGTGGAAATGTTAAGAAATATTTTTCAAATGACTAACACCCATATAAGCGTGGATTTTTTAAAGAATGTTTTTCAAAGGACTAATACCCCCATAAGCGTGGAAATGTTAAGAAATATTTTTCAAATGACTAACACCCATATAAGCGTGGATTTTTTAAAGAATGTTTTTCAAAGGACTAATACCCCCATAAGCGTGGAAATGTTAAGAAATATTTTTCAAATGACTAACACCCATATAAGCGTGGATTTGTTAAAGAATATTTTTCAAAGGACCAACACCTCTATAGGCGTGGATTTTTTAAAGATTATTTATGAAAGAACTAACATCTGTATAAGCATGGATTTTTTAAAGAATATTTTCCAAAGGACTAACACCCCTATAAGCGTGGATTTTTTAAAGAATATTTTCCAAAGGACTCTGACACCAATAAGCGTAAATTTTTTAAAGAAAAATTTTCCAAAGGATTCTAACACCAATAAGCGTAGATTTTTTAAAGAATATTTTTCTACCACCTCCATAAGCGTGGATTTTTAAAGAATTTTTTTAAAAGGACTATCACCTCCATAAGCGTGGATTTTTAAAGAATTTTTTTAAAAGGACTATCACCTCCATAAGCGTGGATTTTTTTTTTTTAAATGACTCTCATACCATTAAGCGTAAATATCAATAAGCGTGGGTTTTTAAAGATTTTTCCAAAGGACTCCCATATCAATAAGTGTGGGTTTTTTTAAGGAATGGTTTCCAAGGACTACCACAGCTATAGGCGTTGATATTTTAAGGAATATTTTTCCAGGAACTACCACAGTTATAAGCGTGGATATTTTAAGGTACATTTTCCCACAGCTATAAGCTTGGATATTTTAAGGACTAGCATAGCTATAGGCGTGGATTTTTTAGGAATATTTTTCCAAGGATTACCTCAGCATAAGCGTGTCTTGTTTGAATTCTATCCAATATTACCGTATCATTATAATAACATTAATTGAGTGTTAACCTAAATTTCTATGAATAGAAATATGCTAAGAAGTTACTGAAATTTACATATGACTCAATCCTTAAAGAAAGATTTACATACAACTTCTTCAAGAGGCACTTTGCATTTAGCACATCCCCCCTCCTGACATCATTTGACACAGGGGAGTTTGTTAGACGGTTGGTGTTTCAGTGTCTTGTTTTCGCCTTGTATGGCACTTGAAAATGTCATAATCTCACAGACAAAAAAAAAAAAAAAAAAAAGGAGAAAGGAGAAAGGAGAAATAAATCGCATAACAATCATATTTTGTGTGGCTTCCTTTAAAGTGGTAAGTCTCCAAAGGCGTTAGCTGGCAGTGGGAGTGTGTGGAGACGTCCTCCATTTTTTCCTTGAGAATCCGGGAACAAAGCATAAGAAAATATGAGAACTTGATTCACATTATGCGACGTTTGCTGTTTTTTCTTGCCTTTGAACTTCTTTTCCTATGCATTATAGGAGGGCAGCCACATATTTTCGTTAGAGGACAAAAAGAAAGGGAGGGGGTTTTGTGTGCTTTGGGATTCCAAGCTACTGCCACTGTCATGTAAAAATTTGAATTTTAATGTTGTAATATCTTTATTTGCTGTTGTATTTTTTCAATCGTTTCACTCCCTCGTTTCCTGATTTTTTCTTCTGCTATGCTTCCTGGAGCAAAAAGATGGAATATCAAATCTCAAGATGATGATATTTCTAGTGCTACTTTTGAAGGTGGTGGAAGAGGAGAACAAAAATAAAAAATGGCTTTTAGGACTTGCGAATCTTTTATCTTGTTTTATTTGTTTTCCCATTATTTTCTTCTTGTTTGTTGCTGTTGATGTTGGCGCTGTTTGTGCTTTCTATTGTCTTTTGTTTGCTGCCTTGTTATTTCATTGCTCTGAAATTTGTTTGTATGTTTTCAAATTGTAAGATTGCGTTATCAGATGTATTCATTATTTCCACTTGTTTAACTAACCATAAGACATACGAATATGAACTGCTATGCATTTTTTTCAAAATGATTTCGATACACTGGGAGAAATATATGGCCCTCAAAGGACGATCACATATATACGAGTGGATTTTTTGAGGAATTTCAAGATAAGTACCACCAGACTTGTAGACCAATAAAAGAGGCTTGTTATGAAATATTTTCCAAAAAGTAGCTGAAAACTGTGGTGTAAAGACTAATTTTTCAAGGACTAGCACCTCAGTAAGCCTAGATTTTTTAAAGATTTTTTTCGCCTGGATTTTTTAAAGAAAAATTTTCCAAGGACTAGCACAGCTATAGATGGATTTTTTAAAGAAAAAAATTTCTAAGGTCTCGCACAGATATAGGCGTGGATTATTTAAAGATTTTTTTCCAAGGTCTGGCACATATATAGGCGTGGATTATTTGAAGAAATTTTTTCCAAGGTCTGGCACATATATAGGCGTGGATTTTTTAAAGATTTTTTTTCCAAGGACTGGCACATATATATGCGTGGATTTTTAATTTTTTTTTTCAAGACTAACACAGCTATAGTCTTAGATTTTTTAAGATTTTTTTTTTCAAGATAAACACAGCTATAGGCGTGGATTTTTTAACAATTTTTTTCAGGGCTAACACAGCTCTAGTCTTCGATTTTTTTAAGATTTTTTCAGGACAAACACACCTATATTAGTGGATTTTTTAAAGTCCTAGTCCTCGGCGGTAGTCCTTGGAAAATATTTTTTTTAAATATCCACGCCTATTATGCCGCTTGTCCTTGAACAAATATTCGTTAAAAATCCACAGCTATAAGTGTGGATTTTTTAAAGAATATTATTTCAGGCGTGAAATTTTGTAAAGAATATTATTTCAGGCCTGGAATTTTTTTAAGAATTTTTTTCAGGTCTTGCACAACGATGGGCGTGGATTTTTTAACGAATGCTTTCAGGTCTTCGTCAGGCCCATCGTTGTGCGCGTGGATTTTTTTAAAGAATATTTTTTCAGGAACTAAGATTTTAATTAGCGAAGATTTTTCAACAGCTAAGATATTAATTAGCAAGGATTTTTCAAGAATATTTTTTCTAAGGGCATTTTCCATCGATTATACCGATCATAGGATTTTTCAAGAATATTTTTTCTAAGGGCATTTTCCATGGGTGCGTATAATCGATTATACCGATCATACGCTCCCTGAAATAAATTCAATTCTAACTCTTAACTACCATTGAGCAACACAACAACTTCCAAAGAAAAAACTATTTTTCAAAACTTTCCACTCTAACATTCGACTGCAATTACAATGGTGAAGGCCATGCAGACCCGCCTCTCTTCGCAGACAATACTTATCCTCAACATGAATAATAAATCTTTTTCGAAAAGAAGTTTGTGTTTTTTATATCGTTTCGAAAAAGTTAAACTTTTATAACTGCATTTATGGTGTTGCAATATTGTTCTTTTTAGAATTTTGTTTAACTCAAGTATTTTCGTTTTTTAGTTTTCTTTTTTTTTTGGTTATCATGAACGACGTTATTCGCCATGCATATTTTACCCGTTGATTGATGTCAGCTTGATAGATTTACAGTTATAGTTTTTAGTCGCTTTCGTTGTGTGAAAGCTTGTTTTAGTTTTTGATGTGCGAAGCGAGACATAGTGGCAAGGCAGACATTGTGGCGCCTTGTTTTATTTTCAAAACTTTAACTTTTAAAATAGGCAGTAGATTTAAAATAACATTATAAACTTTAAAATTATATAAAAATAAGTATTAAAACGTCCACGTTTGTATAATTTTTAAAAAATATACACATGTATTAATTCTATAAAAATAATTTTTAAAAATCGTACACTTGAAAAAGATATATAAACTATTTTAAAAAAATCCAAAATTGTATATAAACATTTTTTAAAAAAAATCACGCATGAATAATTTTCATAAAACTAATCCACTATTATAATAATAATTAATAATTATAATGAATAATTTTTTCAAAAATTGTTTTAAAAAAATCCAAGCATTGCTAGAAGGCATTTTCGATTCTCGGGACAAC